TTATATGCAAATAACAATTATGTAAAATTAGACAGGTAACGCTACGGACATTTGATGATATCCAACAAGGACGTACAGAGGATCGCTGAATCACGCATTCGATTCCTTTTTTCCAATGTTGAGCGATTTTTTTCGGGAAGTAATCAGATATGGAAAAGTATGTTTGAATTCTCAAAAGAACAAATAAGATAAAATACCTCAAGTCCGCCAGTCTTCACAAGTTCATAATTGATGGTGCCTGGTTTAATCGCATCAATCAAGTCGAGCACAACGCGTGCGTTCGAAATCACTGGGTCTTGGAAACCTCTAATCGATGCCTTCTTTTGACTCTCCGCTAGCTAAACAACGACATTCAGTTTGTTTTTTAAATGTTCACGTTATAAATCTCGTACGCAACAACTGTGGTACGCAAAAGAGGACAGCTTTTCATTTGGAATATGCTGCGACAAAACACCAATTCAGGGAGCAAGTTTGCTGTAAGCATCATTGTATTATGATTAGAGACAAACCTTCTTATTAGCCCATGCGATGATCTCCTTATCAGTTGCAAGTGTGTCACCACTTTGAGTGCAGTGAGCGAGAATTGTTAACGTATAGGCGCGCATTAACTGCCATACGAGTGCTGCAATAAAAACACGAACATTACAGAAACAAATCGCATTCTCATTATTCCATCACAAACTTCATCGCTTGAAACATGGAACTGAGAACATTGAAATTCTTTCATTTCATAGTTTGGAATGTTTTGAAGAATGTGCAGAGTGGAATATCTCATGATCTATTGAGCACGTTACTTTCATATGTTACAGATGATGTTCATTCAAGGTTTCCCTTAAATATCGCACTTTTGCTGATATATTGTAAAAGATTTTTGATACTCTGTTTCCACGCCATCAAAAATTCCAATCGTGCTCCGTTGAAAACCTTGAAATCATAATCGTGTTCCCAGGTTGATAGTAGCATTAGGCGCTTATGCATCCAGCTACTATTCATAGCGATATGCACTCTTATTCATGACGATTCGAGCTTATGCCGAATGCTTGGGGTTGAACATGAATAAGGGAGCAGTGAAAAATGCTCAGTGATTGATGACGATCGCAAACAAAACTGATAAAACAGATAACGAATAAAAACTGAAGACGAGCAATGAAATCAAACAAAAACGAATAACACACCAAGCGTCAATGTCTGATTACTATCGTAAATATCTTTGCCTTGAATGCCAACCAAAGAGAAGCGTAACTGTTTGCCCAATTCAACCGCATAGTTACAGTTCTGGATTTGATCCATCATTCCTTTAAGTTTCGAGAATTTTGTCACTACACGCTTCCAGTTCACCATACCCGGTCGAATGATATCGTATAACTGAAACATTACGATACTCTTCATAATAGCGATAGTAATTGAAAGAGCATTTATGAAATGAAATCGCATGGAATTTCAAAATTTCTTACAGAATTACAACGAAACGCAACTAATAAATGATAGAAACGTTGGAGAAATTCTAAGATCGAATAAGAAATGAACCTGGAATATGATACATCCATTTGTAAGATCACCGTACAAATAGTTCACGTAAGGACTAACACCCATACTGTTCATCCAATTGCGATATGTTTTCTCTTCACGCGTTTCTTCAACCACTTCTTCGACTGCAACATACACAATCCTAATCAAAAAATACAACTAAACGTTCAGATCGCACTTTTTGTATCTGATTAATGAAATGTTATGGAAGAACACACAAATACAAAACTTTTTGTGCTATGCCCAGAAACTTTCAAAAGAAATTCAAAAAAAACAATCTTTATGCAATCGAACGAATTCATTAGCTAACATTAGTTAA